CCCCCCCGGGGACCCGGGCCCCCCCCCCCCCGTTTTTCCCGGTGCCATCAGAACCATGGAGAGGGGAAACCCACCGGGGGCGCACCGGGGGGCTCGGCAGGGCTGGCCCGGCCCTGGGGGGTCCCGGTGGGGTTTTTTATGGGGGGGGGGGGCGGCCCCGTTTTTGGGGCAGCGCTCCCCCGCGCGGCGGGGCCGGAACTGCGGCGGGGGCGCTCTGGGGACCCGCGACACGGGACACGGGACACGCGACACTGGACACGCGACACGGGACCCCCGGCGTGCCCCCGCCGCCGCCGCGGTGTCCCCGGTGTCACCGTGGTTTTGGGGGCAGCGCACCCCCGAGCGGCGGGGCCGGAACTGCGGCGGGGGCGCTCTGGGGACCCGCGACACGCGACACGGGACACGCGACACGGGACACGCGACACGGGACCCCCGGCGTGCCCCCGCCGCCGCCGCGGTGTCCCCGGTGTCACCGTCCCGGGGTGTCACGCTCCGGGGGGTGTCACCTCCCGCGGTGTCGCCCCCCGCCCGGCGCGGCGGCGCCCCCCGGTGTCCCCGCGCGGTGTCCCCGGTGTCGCCGCGGGGCCGCGGCAGCGAGCGGGTTAAGCGCGGCCGTGACGCGGCCCCGTCCCCGCCCCCGGCTGCCCGCGGAGCTGTCAGCGGCCCCGGTAACGGCAGCGCGGCCCCGGGGGTCCCCGGGGTGTCCCCAGGGGTGTCCCCAGGGTGTCCCCGGGGTGGGGACCCGCACTGGGGGGGGGTCCCCGGCGCGGAGGTGGCGGGGGGGGGGATTTTGGGGGCGTTCCGGGGCCGTTCCGGGGGGGCCGCGTGGCCCCGCGCCTTCCGGGGACAGCGGGGACCCCCCCGGCCCGGCCCCGACAGGGCCACCCCCCCGCGGGGACAGCTGGGGACAGCCGCGCGGCCCCCCGGCCACAGCGCCATGTCCCCGTGGCCGCCTTTGTGTCCCCGCGTCCCCCTGTGCCCGCGTCCGCATCGCCACGTCCCCCGGGTCCCCGTGGGCCCGGGTCCCCACATCCCCTTGTCCCCAATTCCCCATGTCCCCGCATTCCAGTGTCCCCAAAATCCCAATTGCCAATGTCCCACATGTCAGCCTGCCTCCACATCCCAATGTCCCTAAAATCCCAGTGTCCCTATCCCAATGTCCCCCTGTCCCCACACCCCAAATCCCCCTGTCCCAGTCCCAATGTCCCTAAAATCCCAATGTCCATGTCCCCCTGTCCCTGTCCCCACATCCCCCTGTCCCCAAATTCCCACATCCCTCTGTCCCAATCCCAGTGTCTCCGTGTCCCCATGTCCCCAAATCCCCCTGTCCCCACATCCCAATGTCCCTAAAATCCCAATGTCCATGTCTCAATGTCCTCCTGTCCCCACATCCCCCTGTCCCGATCCCTATGTCCCCCTGTCCCCACACCCCAATGTCCCCCTATCCCCCTGTCCCCCGTCCCCATTTGGGGTCATTTCGGAGCCTTTCCGCCCCCGTCCCTGACCCGCGGCTGCCCCCGCAGGTGTCGCGGCTGTCGCGGTGTGGCGGTGTCGCTGTGTCGCGGCTGTCGCCGTGTCCCTTGGCCGTGTGGCGGTGTCTCTGCGTGGCCGTGTGGCCGTGTCGCTGTGTCGCGGGCATGGCGGGGCTGCTGCCGGCGCTGGTGGCGGTGTCGCAGAAGGCGGCCGAGGTGGCGCGGCGCTGCCGGGCCGAGGGGCCGCTGGCGCGGCTGCCGGTGGCCGAGAAGCCGGGCCCGGAGCGCGGCCCCCGCTTCGCCCGCGACTTCAAAACCCTGGCGGACGTGCTGATCCAGGAGCTCATCAAGCACGACCTGGGGACGCAGGTGGGGACAGCCCGGGGGTGGCCGGGGGGGGTGGCACCCGCCAGGCCCCCCCTGAGCCCCCCCCGGTGTCGCCGCAGTTCCCCGAGCTCCGGGGACACATCCACGGCGAGGAGAGCAGCGAGTTCAGGGACGCGCGGGGTGAGCGGGGACAGCGGGACACTGAGGGGACAGTGGGGACAGTGAGGGGACAGTGGGGACAGTGAGGGGACACTGAGGGACATGGGGACACTGAGGGGACAGAGGGGATGTGGGGACAGTGAGGGGACAGCAGGGACAGTGGGATGGGAACATCTGTGAGGGGTGTGGGGACAGAGGGGACACACGTGGGGATGTGGGGCCAAGGCCGAGGAGGGAGGGAGTCCCCATGTCCCAATGTCCCAGTGTCACCCTGCCCATGTCCCCATGTCCCATATCCCATGTCCCCATGTCCCAGTGTCACCCTGCCCATGTCCCCATGTCCCATATCCCATGTCCCAATGTCCCAGTGTCACCCTGCCCATGTCCCCATGTCCCATATCCCATGTCCCCATGTCCCAGTGTCACCCTGCCCCATGTCCCATGTCCCCATGTCCCCACAGTCCCGTGGCTGAGTCAGGGTCCCCACGGGGTCTGTGGTGCCGTGGCTGAGTCGGGGGTCCCTGGGTTGTGTCCCCGGCAGGTGGCACGGTGACAGTGCCACCCTGGGTGTCCCTGTGCCCTGTCCCTGTGTGATGTTGTGTCCCGGCAGGTGGCACGGTGACAGTGCGGGTCTGTGCCACCCTGGGTGTCCCTGTGCCACCCTGGGGGCTGATGTTGTGTCCCGGCAGGTGGCACAGTGACGGTGCAGGTCTGTGCCACCCTGGGTGTCCCTGTGCCACCCTGGGGGCTGATTTGTGTCCCGGCAGGTGGCACGGTGACGGTGCGGGTCTGTGACACCCCGGGGGACACGGTGGCCCTGCTGCTGGCCGTGCTGGGCCCCGAGCAGACGAGGGCGGCCGAGCTGCTGGCAGAGGCCGTGCACCAGGAGGTGACACTTGGGGACACGGAGCTGGATGGCATCGACCCCGGAGTGTCCCCAGGGGACGTGGGGATCTGGATAGACCCCATTGGTGAGGGGCCGTGGGGTGGGGACAGGGACGGGGATGGGGACAGGGGGGAGACAGGGACAGGGATGGGATGGGATGGGACAGGGACGGGGACAGTGACGGGGACAGGAACGGGGACAGGGATGGGATGGGGACGAGGACAGGGATGGGGACAGGGATTGGATGGGATGGGGATGGGGACAGGGACAGGATGGGATGGGGACAGGGATGGGATGAGGATGGGGATGGGGATGGGATGAGGATGGGATGGGATTGGGGTGGGATGGAGGGGACAGAAACAGGGCCAGGGTGAGGGCCAGGGCTGGCACCCCCAGAGCCGGGATGGGATGGGATGGGACAGGGACGGGGACAGTGACGGGGACAGGAACGGGGACAGGGATGGGATGGGGACGAGGACAGGGATGGGGACAGGGATTGGATGGGATGGGGATGGGGACAGGGACAGGATGGGATGGGGACAGGGATGGGATGAGGATGGGGATGGGGATGGGATGAGGATGGGGATGGGGATGGGACAGGGATGGGGACAGGGAGGGGGACAAGGATGGGACGGGGTGGGGACAGGGATGGGATGAGGATGGGGATGGGGACGGTGACAGGATGGGATGGGATTGGGGTGGGATGGAGGGGACAGAAACAGGGCCAGGGTGAGGGCCAGGGCTGGCACCCCCAGAGCCCCTGGCTGCCCCTGGCTCCCCCAGACTCCACCAACGAGTTCATCGGGGGCCGCGAGGACGTGGCCGCCGTGGATGGCGTGGCGCCCGGGGGGCTGCGCTCGGCCCTGGTGCTCATGGGCGCCTTCGAGCGCCGCAGCGGGCTCCCCGTGCTGGGGGTCATCAACGAGCCCTTCTTCCAGAGGGACCCCCAGACCGGCAGGTACAGCCAGAGCCCGGCACCCCGGGACCCCCGGGACCCCTGACCCTGCACCCTGGGACCCCTGAGACCCCTGACCCTGCACTGGGGGTCCCTGTCACCCTGTCCCCCACACCTCAGGGTCACTGTCACCCTTGACCCTTCACCCTGGTGTCCCCAACCCCCCTCACCCTGGGGTCCCAATTCCCCCGTTTCCCTCACCCTGGGGTGCCCATCACCCAATTGCCCCCCATCCCGGGGTCCCAACTCCCCCATACCCCTCACCCTGTG